CTTTTACATGTTTTTAAAGAAAACAAATGTGTGGGAAAAAAATGTTGTTTGTTTTTTGCCAAACCAAAGTATTAATCTGCCCTGGTAGGGAAATTTCTTGGCCACGCCACTGACTGCAATTTCCAAAGTGTCATCTGTATTTTTCAGTCCTTCCATGTATAAAGAATCCAACAGCAGTTTCCTTCAAGGTTGAGTAAGTTTGAATGTTTAGGGGGCTGTAGCCACAAGATTTGGCAAACCATTCACTTGTCATGTTAATAAAAAAGGAATTGTTTCTGCCTCTTTAAGCTAGTAGCTAAATGAAGGGCTTGGATCAACTGGATTTTAATCATGAAGTCCAGATTCTTCTTGCTTCACGTGAATAACTGTGGTGTTCAGGGTTTTCATCTGATTTATTTTTATTTAGAAGAGGAACTGAGCTTCTTCCCTGTTACCAACCCTTGAATTTGCTGACTTGTTATGCTCTTCAAACCTAATCGGTTTTCTTGATCTCAAAATGAAAATCGAACCTTTCTGCACTTTTTATTTCCCCAAAGCAATTGAATTGAAAAGTGGGGTGGTTTGGGGTTTTTTTCCAGCTCCTTAAGTTGTTTTTTATAGATGGCATGTTAGCTTTGAGGGCTGTTTCATGACTGGTAAAAGCGTATACCTTGTAAAATCCATAGCTTTTAATGCATTTTGTTTCTCACTTCAAACACAGTACCGAGAGAAGAAATAATAGAATATTTCATGGTCGTGCTGTTCCAACAGTTCAGATTCTTTTTACGTGGTGATGCTGATTTTGTAGCTCCAAATGCTTGGGCTTAAAATTTGATTTCCTAAATTCCTTAGTCTGAAAATGTTGAAACCTAGAACCAGCTGTAATACACCCTGAAGAAGTGTCTTGCTTACATGATTACTTTTCCTCTACCACAGAGATTACAAGAAAGTGGATCAGATAAATGATTATATTATCTGTGGAATGCAAAAACACTGGGTAGATAGCATTTATTCCTCAAAACAGCTTTTCCCCACTCTTTTTCTCATGATCTGTGTTAGTGTTTACAAAGTATCACTCTTGACCAAGCCCTGATTAATGTTGGGTTGCAATGTGGAAATCTGGTGTAACCCACCATAAATATCAGTGTATTTTAGCAAAATATCTTCTTGCTATTAATTACCCTTATTCTCTGTATCTGTCTGAAGAAAGAACTTTTCTCCTTGCCTTCATCCCTTGGGGTGATGGGGAAATTGAGACACTCACGAGGGGCCAAGGAATAAAGAAAGTAAAAAGTGAAATAATCAGATCTCTGGTTCCTAAAAATCAGCTTAGTTCACATGGGGTGACTTTGGTCACAAACAGATTCTGGGTAACCACAAATTTGTTGATTAGGTGAAGAAATCCTTCCCTGGGAGGGTGGGCAGGCCCTGGCACAGGGTGCCCAGAGCAGCTGTGGCTGCCCCTGCATCCCTGGAAGTGTCCAGGGCCAGGCTGGATGGGCTTGGAGCAGCCTGGGACAGTGGGAGCTCCCTGCCCATGGCAGGGGTGGAACAAGGTGATTTTCCAAAGTCCTTTCCAAGTTCCCTTCAAGATTCCCATCAGATTTTCAGTGCAAGCCTGCAGGACAAGCCCAGAGCTGGATGATGCTTTGCCTGCCAAGTTGTTCCATTGAAATAAAGAGGAATATTGAAACAGGAAGGGCTGAAAATGAGCAAATGTAGCAGAGGGTGAATGCATCAAAAATGACCTGTGTGGGACTCATTCAGTGAGCCAAGCAGAGCTGCCTCGTGCCTGACAGGTCTGAATTTGACACAGTCCTTTGTAAACAATAAATCAATGCAGGTTGTTTCTGTGAGTGCATAAAAGGTGTGAGAACTGTAATTTATTTTATAATAAATACTTGTGCTAAGCAAACAGCGAGTGCAGCTATTAGAGACTTTCTCAAATAAGTGATTTTAGGCTGCTGAGTGCCAGCTACTGATGTGATAGTCGAGCTTTTAAAATGAAAAGCCTGAGTTCCTTTTGAAGATTCTTCTGAATGCTGTTGACACTTGTGCTAGGAAAGAATACAGAGTAATTTAATTCATTACTTTACTTAAAGATAGCGTTTATGGTTGCAGCATTACCCTCCATCCATGTGCAGACTCTAGGCTGGAGGTGTTTACTTGAATTTTTTTAGAGATGTTGCATCCTTTTATTAGGTGTGCTGGAAAGCTTGGGAGAAAAAAATGTAGGAGGGAAAGGGGAGTTCAGGATCAGTCAGCTGGTGTGTCTGGATACAAGGACAAAGGGACAATTTTGCCTTTGGCTACAGTTTGACACTTTACTGGATTCAGTCAGAATTATCTGCGCACGCTGAAGGGCACAAATGTCATTTTTATGGCATTCTATATCCTCAGTTGCTTTTTTTTTTTGTAATTGGCTGTGTATCCCAGTGCTGTAATAGAGCTCTTAAATCCTGACCCCGGCCAAAATGGGACACAAATACCAGTATTAATATTTCTCTCCATTTTAAATGCAGGGTTGAGTCTTTTTACTTTGTTTTTTCCAGCACCATCTTGTGTTTCCCTGGCAGCCACCCACCGTTCCTCTGGCTCAGGGTGCTCCTCTGCTTTGCTGCTCTTGGGCCTCTCTCCTCTTGATCCAGTGGCCTTGGATATCCCTCTGTTCCTTGCCTTGCTCCTCTGTCTTCTCCAGTTTCCTGACCTTTGGCTCCCTTGCCCCTTTCAAGGTGGCTGAAGGTCCTTGGGTTGTCCAGACTCCCTCTCACTTCCTCCCCTTCCCACTCATCTTTTCTCCATCAGAGTCATCTTCCTTTCTGCCGGAAACAAAAAAAAAAGAAAGTTTCCCTGGCTGAGCTGAAACCCCAAATTCTGCATCTCCCTCTTTCAATCCCAGGGGTTTTTGCTTCCGAGTCTTTCACTCCTCCCAGGTGCTGTGTTGTTCCAGACCTTTGGCTGATACCTGGCACCCCCTGTTTGGGTGGAAATGCAGGGATTTTAGTGTTCTCCCCACCCTTCAGAGAAGGAGAGGAACTGCACTGGCTTCAGCTTAGGCAGCGTGCTGGGGTGGGACATTCCCAGCTCTGCTCTGTGACAGAACCCAGGCATCATTTACTGGCTCCATATAACCTGAGGCATTCACACATAAATTGAGCCTGAATGAAGAAGCTTATATAAAGAGGATCCTTAAACTATCCTGGCTAAAAATATTTGTGAAATGCTGGGAAGCATCTTTTTAGTGTGTTGGGATGCTCTCTTCCCTCTTATCTCTGTTACAGATGTACAGTGGGGTCACTTGCATGGGCTTTGGGACATTTTTTTCCTGTGAAATACTGTCATTTCCATAAGTGGGTTAATAAGTTTTTTTGGGCCTGGAGTCTAAAACAAAAGATGTTTCACAACTGCAGAGGCTAAAGAGATGGAAAGTGTTATTGCAGGCTGATGTTAATGTGCCTGGGTCAGTCTTGTGGCTACTCCCTTGAATCCTTTCTGCCCAGGCAGTGGTTGTTCAGTTCAGTAAGTAATGACCATTATTTATTATTAATTCAAAACATGGTGTGCAGGATTTCTGCCCAGTGTGAGAGCACATTAGCTTCTCCTGCATAAGAAAACACATGTTAATCTGTTTTCCATTATTGTCCAAAAGATCTTTTCAGAAGGCAGTTCATGTTGCCCCAACAACATTAAAGGCTGTAATTAAAAATCGTTTTCCATTAATTTATATACATGCACATTTACTTATTATGATCTTTTGCTGCATTTCCCTAAGTGTACACCCAAAAGCCTAAAATGCTGTTGAGGAATAAGTCAATATTCACTGTAATGATCCAGTGTGGAGTGTGCCAGAACCCTGATGTACTTCAATTAAGCATCTTTCCTAACAAACACCTGCACAGGGAAATGGATCTTCTGTGAGAATCAGCAGAAAAACAAACCCTGACTTTTCTGCATGGGCAGAGGAAGGGAATTCCAGTATTTCACAGCTTTTACTGATAATGATCTGCTACAGATTAAAAACAAAAACCAGACATTATGGTGTTGGCAGATTGCAAAAGGACTTGCTGGTAAAGCTGCTGTTCAGAGGAGATGAGGACAGTGTTTATTGCTTCCATATGGTTCAGGCATACAAGACAGGCAGAGTGTCTGGGGAGAATAATATGTCTTATTGTATTGATACAGAACATTCTTTAGGGCTGTCAGCCCTTTCTCCTGGTACCTTTCCCAGGTGAGAGCCTGAGTGGGAAATATTTGCCCATGATTGAGCATGAAGATAAGAAAAGATTGCTTAAGGATTGGCTCCATTTGTGTGAGTGAAGTATTGGAAATGCTGATTTTTAAGGGGTCAGGTCTGGGAGCTGCTCCCTAACACAGGGATCTGAAGGATCTCTTTTTTCCTTGACTATTTGTATAGTTTTCAACCCTTTGACTTTCCAATTCAGCTTTGCAAAGTGCATTAGGGGTCTAAATTTAGAGTTTGATAAATTCGTGTCAAAAAAACCTTCCCTTCCACGTAATGTAAAATTGAGTTTCTTGGTCTCTTTGACCTCTTGATTTTTTTATTTTTTTTTTTAGCTAAATTAAGAACCAAACTTCTGGGCACACTGAAATAGAAAAGTAGCTGGTTGCTTTTGTATATGTGGGGACTTGACTGAAGAACTGCTGTCTTGACTTCTCCGTAATTATCACTTGGGAAGCACCTTTACATATTGGAAAAATGACACTGCCTGGAATTTTGGGGAGTTAGACCTTCAAAGATCCAATCAATGTGCCCAGATATCAATTTTCCTATTGCATTGCAAAAAGGGGGACAGGCAAAGGAATTAGAGATTTGCAGAGTGGTCCAGAAGACTCCAGAGGGTCTCACCAGTCAGGAGATGAGCTGCCCAGTGCTACTGTGTCCTTTTACAAATCAATATTGACAATAAATATTGGTGTTTGTGTGCCTGTTGCTGTGCCTGAGCTCGTGCAGCAGCCATTCTCTGTGTGATAACAAAACTTCTGCTCTCTCCTTCTCCCAGGGCTGATGAAATCGAGATGATCATGACAGACCTTGAAAGAGCCAATCAGGTAGGATTTCAAATGAGTCCCCCATAAAATTCTAAGTGTGACTTTGATTATTCTTTTTAAATTCTCTTTTGGATTTCATGACAGTTCTTTTATGTGCATTTTGCAGTCATAACTGTGTGGAGTAAGAAAATATGCAAATTTTGAGCAAAATACAGCTCTTCAGGGATGCTCTGTGAGGATTGTGTGCACAGTAGAGCAGTGCTTGCCATATATTTACCTTCTAATAATTTAAACTTACATTTCCCACTGTAGATATTATTGGCTTTATGTTTCTAAATCCATCATGTTGGCCCCTACTCAGACATGCAGGTGAATGGTTTGCCCAAATTAAAGAGCCTCTGCCCTGTGGCTGTGGCAGGACTGCAGGTTTGGGGACTTCTCCAGACTTCTTTTCCCCCCTTCCTTTTCTGCTATGTTTTATTGGCATATTAATTTTTAGCAAGGGTTGGATCAGACTGTTCTTTCTGTGCAGAACCACAAAGAAATTGCCATTTGCTCCTACAGATATTAATTTGGGCTGTGAAATGTCTCCCTGGCCACCCCTCCCAGTGCACACACTCCTGCACGAGTGGCAGAAATACTGAGTTTTAACAAACCCAAACCCACCAGCCTTGCAGAGAACCCCGAGTGAGTGAGTGAGTGATTGAAGTGGAGGAGGAAATGTGTATGGATTCCATGACAATGGAAATTCCACAAGCCGCTGGCTGCTGGTTTCACAGAGGGAAACCTCAGGATTTGCTTATCAGTGAGCTTCATTAATCCCGCTGCCAGGTACCACCAGAGATTGCAATCTTCAGTCTCCCAGGCTATGGATTTATAATCCAGCTGAAGTTTGCCTAAGAGCAGCTGCCTTCCAGGGGGAATAGTGGCAGCTCCTTCCCCTCCCTGGGTCCTGCTGTCAGCAGTGGTTGTGTGAGCCAGACCAGGTCACTGATCCTGTTGAAAATGCACCCCCTGCTCCAGCTGCTGTTTTGTTTTGTCTTTTCCCTTTTGCCAGATCAGCTTTCAGCCCCCACACTCCCTGCTGCAGCTGTCAAGTCTGCAGCAAGTGCTGCTGGCCTTTATATTAGTTCTTGGAAAACTGGAAAAATACAAATCACAGAATCATTTCCACTGGAAAAGCCCTCCAAGATCACCCAGTCCAACCTTCACCCAGCACTGCCAAGGCCACCACTAACCCGTATCACCAAGTGCCACATCCACAGGGCTTTGAAATCCCTCCAGGGGTGAGGACTCACCTGGGCAGCTGTGCCAGGGCTGGACACCCCTTTCAGTGAAGAGAATTTCCCGAGAATTTCCCTGATATCCAGCCTAAACCTCTCTTGGAGCATCCTGAGGCTGTTTCTTTGTGTCCTATCACTTGTAACCTGGGAGCAGAGCCCAGCCCTCACCTAAAGCCTCCTTCCAGGGAATTGTAGATCCCCCCTGAGCCTCTTTTCCCCCAGGCTGAGCTCTCCCAGCTCCCTCAGCCACTCTGGTGCCCCAGACCCTTCCCCAGCTCCATTCCCTTCCCTGGACACACTCCAGCATCTTAATGTCTTAATGAAGCCAAAATCATATTTGTAAGTTGTTGAGTTGATTATTTAGTCAGTAAAAGCAAACTGGTGTTTGTACAGTGGGTTTTTAGTTCTGTCAAAGAACTTTTGTAGACAGCATTAAATATTTATGAGAGTACTAGTAATTATTTGAAAATACGTAGACTTTTTAGAAATTATGTAGGTGTTAAAAATGTTTTGGTAGAATTATTGTGTGATTTTTGCAAAGGCAGTTCATTTTGCAGTGATTTACCCAGTAGCTGGGTTTTTTTCCCTCAGTCTAAAGGGGGCTGTAGTTAAAGAACAGTATTTCTGAATTCCTCATTGCCTCCAAAAATTGATTATACCTATTTATCTAGAAACGCTATTTTTCTATCTAACTGATACAAAGCTGTATGTAGGTTGGGGTTCTTTTACTTCATTGTGGTGTTTTTATAATTAGGTAAAATTTACAACTGCTTATGTGCATAACCCTCAGTTTGGTTGTTGTTCTGCACACTCTGCCTGTACATAAAACCAGCATGCTGTTCATCTGAGCTGTTGGAAGGCCAGAGGAGGGGATTCTGTCTCCCCTTTCCCCATCTCCCTCTTCCTCCTCCCCCTCTGGCTGCTGAGGTCCCATGCCCTCCCAAACAGCAGCTCTGGCACCTGGGGAACCCTTCACTGAGGCTTCACTGAGCTCAGCAAGTGCAGGAAAGCCTGGATTTGGGATGAAGGGTTTGTTCTCTGTGGGTTTAGCAGCTTGAGGCTGCTCAAAAAAAAACATGGGAGAAACCACAGCACCCAAATCACAGAATCATGGAATGGTTTGGCTTGGAAAGGACCTTAAAGCTCATCCAGTCCCACCCCCTGCCATGGCAGGGACACCTTCCACTGTCCCAGGCTGCTCCAAGCCCTGTCCAACCTGGCCTTGGATCCAGGGGCAGCCTCAGCTCCTCTGGGCACCCTGTGCCCACCCTCACAGCCAAAATTTCCTTCTCAGTATCTCCTCCAGCCCTGCCCTGTGGCAGTGGGCGCCATTCCCTGTGTCCTGTCCCTCCATCCCTTGTCCCTGGTCCCTCTCCAGCTCTCCTGGAGCCCCTTTAGGCCCTGGAAGGGGCTCTGAGCTCTCCTGGAGTTTTCCCTTCTCCAGGTGAGCATCCCCAGCTCTCCCAGCGTGTTCTCCTCTGGAATTGCTCCAACAGTTCCGTGTCTTTGCTGTGCTGGGGCCCAGGAGGGACACCAAGGGACACCAAGGGACTCTGTGGCCTTGCAGGAGCTGCAGAAGGGAAGGGCAGGTTCACCTGCAGAGGAGCAGGAGCTGCTGCAGGGGCTCAGCTCATTTGCTGCCCATAGAGTCTTTGTCTTGTGTGATGCTTTACCTTTATAAAGCACTTTGATGAATTATAGCTAATCTCTGTAGCAGCAATTCCTGTGTTTTACCTCTTCATAGCTGAAAAAAAAAATTACTGGAAGAAATTAAATCTATTGCACAGGCCAGAAAGTGAGTTTGCATCAGGCTGAAGTGTTACAATTGCAGAAACAAGTACTTAACCTAATTATGTATTTAATAGTTAAATTAACATTTCCTTTTACCATTTCAGTAAGTGCTCATTCCCCTTTATTAAGGCTACCTTTAAAGAGTAGTGCTCAGCACGACTCCTGCTTTGCTCAGGGACTGCCTTGCTGATGTGGATGTGATGTTTTGCTGCTCTGGAATTAGCACTGACCCAAATGACTGGGATTCAGAGCACAGATTTACATGCTTCCACTAAAAATATGGGAAAAAGAAATTGGTGTAAACTTTTATATATCTGACATTTCTTGAAAATGCCTTTCCCAGTTATCTCCCTTTCTAAATCCAGAGCTGGCACTTCAGAACTTCCCGTGCTGTTGGTTCAGCTCCTACTGAGGGCACAATGAAGCCACATACAATAGGAAGGGCTCCTTTTCACTTTATTAACCCAGCAGCTCAGTGACAAAACTTGATAACATAACCCAGAGTTCCCCCTGCATTTCCATGAAGATTTAATAATGCTGTAGTTTGGTGAAGGGACTCGTTTTATTAAGATTTCATTTTGCACAATAAATCACTGCATATTTTCTGATATGCTACGAAGTATAAGAATAAATAATTAAAACTAAACTACCCGTACTTGTCAAAATAAATGATTTATCATAGTTTGGGATACAGCATCTTTGAATTTTTTATTGTTTGATTCCCAGAATATTCTAATTTCCAATCAGGGAAGTTAATGAAGCTCCAGTATACATTTCTGCATTCGCAGCAGTTACAGTTGTGTGACTGTTTATTTTAGACAAATATTTATGGTTAGCACTTTCCTGTACCTTTTCAAGTTTACACCTTTCCAGTGTTTATGGCAGCAAAGTCACGAATCTTTCGGGACGACAAATTTATTCAAATGAATTATTGTTCTGTTCTTCCAGGAACCTGGAATCATCCAATTGTGCCTGAGAAAAACAGGTTTTTGTTGGGAAGAATAATTCCTGGGTTGTGAAAACAGAAATATTTAAATATATTTGAATATTTAAATGTATTCTATTTAATATAAATACATTTAATTTTTTTTTTTAAATTACAGCTGGGCTCATTTTAAGGTTTTAATACTGAGTCTGAATTTGTGGCTTTGCATCATTGATGTGTCCAGATCTCTTTTCTGCCTTTACACATTGATCACATAGTTAAAAAAAATAAATCTAATGGGCTTTGTAATTTGAGCTTCCTGCAAAGAAAAAGGTGTTTTTTCATTTTTAAAACAAAAAGAGAAGAACTTTGGTTAGGGTTGTTTGCTCCTGGGTTATTGTATTTTAATCTGAAAGAAGAGGAAATTGATTTGAAAAGCAGACTCAAGTATAGGTATCCTTAGATTCTGAGAGTGGTAAAAAAAAGAAAACATGATACTTTTTTTTGGTGTGTGGACTATGTTGTGTAAGCTCTAGAAGAAGAATCAATTTTTTTTTCTTCTGTTATCCCTTTGGAAAAGCCAAATGTTTCCATTGGTTTTTGTTCCATCTTCACAATGCTGATAGTGCTCCCAGATTTCTAGTTCTTATTTTTTCTGGGGAAAGAAAGTCAAATATAGAAACTTCTAATACCAATAAATCAAGAAAAGTGTACTTTCTAAAATATAGCAGCTTTTATTAAAGAATCTAGAGTGGATCAATGTCATTTATTCCACAGAAATGTAGTGTTGGGTTTTAAAGTCTGTAGAGGAAGAGTTAGTGAATTTAAGCAATTTTTGGAGCCAAACTGCCACTAAAATACATAAAACAGTGTCTGCTATAAAAGTAGAAAGAAAACCTCACCAGGGTGTTTTAGCAGAAATTCTGCTCTCAAGATTATTTTTTATTTCCTTGTGTGTGGCACCTTCCTGTCTCCAACAAATCACATTGGAAAATGGTTCCAAAAGATATTCCTGCTAAGTGAGACTGCCATAAAATATGTATGTTTTTGAGCAGCAGATG